TGCTAGTGATGGGGTAATAAAATTCTTCTTAGGCATAGGCTAAATCAGAGTTTTGTTTTTTTCAACTACTTTTTCATTAATCTTATGCAATTGATGGACCATATGGTTTTCTATGTTTTGTTTTCCTTTTCTATCTTGAAGTCCAAAAGTCCAATATCTTTAAATTTCAAAATGTCTAAATTAAAAATCTTCCACCCACTTTCTAAACCTAATCCGTAACATGCCAAAAAGTAAATAGCAGCTTGGACTTAGTTTCAGGGTTTTTAATTAATAATTATCTAAATATAAATGATTAATTTCATATTATTATTATCATCATCATCAATGTTATTATTTAACATGTCTATATTGCGATCTACAAAGGAGAGCCGCCACTTGGACTCGCGGCTTATATAACCGCCACTTGTAGTAATGACTTTTCTTAACCACGGTTAACTCTAGCAGTATTTTGGAAATTATTTTCAATCCATCAGTATTTTGGAATATAAGAATATACTAGTAATATTATACAAATACATGTGATTATGTGAAATGTTTCAATTTGGTTGACATAAAATTATATTGTAAATATGTATGCAATATTCTACACGATAGTAATTAGGATGAAAAAGCTAACAATTACGAATTTATCGTTTTTATTTTCATTTTTCTGCTAGTAATTACGAATTTACAGTTTTATATTGTCTAGTAAATGCATATGGTATAGTGCAATACTGTTCATAGGTTAAATTTTATTCAACCTATATTATTCTCGTGTGGTATACTACTATTTGTACATACAGTGACCTCCGATGTCTAACATTCGGATATGATGAGACGGTGTGATTATTAATAAAAATAGATTTATAAGGTCCATATTGAATTGATAAATGATTTAGAACCACATAAATTTTATCGATTTTTGTATGAGACAATCATAATGGGATGAATCGAAAAGGGATGAGACAATCATAATGGATGGAAAATGAAACAATCTTAACGAGATTAAGGAGGGGATGAAACACTACTTTAAACTTCAAACAATGTGACCAATTTGTGTGAACCGATTAAGTTTAAAAACCTACTGAGTTGCTTCACCGCATATGGTCTAACAACCCAAAAGCTTTTCTCCGGTCTCTAAGCATGTACGATACACAATAACATCTTGAATTTGAAATCTTTTTGCGGTTATCCATTAATTTAGCACCACCAATCAAATGTTTACCCAACTATACTACCATCTTTCTACAACTATAAATGCATGCATTAGAGAGAACAAAAAAAAATGAGCTATACAGATTTGATCTGTACAATAGAATATAATAGAAGTGTCTATATATTAACTGATAGGCATTGTCAATCTAGTAAAGTAGAAATGGCCAATTCAAGAGGCATAAACTTTGTGTTTGTTGCACTTCTCATGGCACTCCTCATAGTCACACCTGTTGTTTCGGTTGCAACAAAGGAAACAAGCTATGCAGACAGCAGGAAGTTATTATCAACACAAACCGCTAGCGACGAAAGTAATAAGCACCCGATTCCGACTAACGAATACAGTCGAGGCTGTAACGCCATTAATCGATGCCGTGGCGATGACTAAGACGAAGGCTGCTCTTTATTAGATGAATCCACACCGGATTGCAGACAATGTAAATCACTTATATTGTATTGTAACACATATGAAAGCTCATGTTGCATGCATATCGAGTAATGATAATAATTTCTTAATAGAAGTTTAAATATTGTGTTCCTAAAATGCCTCAGATTCGTTCTAATTAAAGTCTATAGTTCATTGTGCTTAAAATGGCTTTTAAAGTTGGTGTCTCACTTTGTGATTGGACACACTACACATACTTCGCTAGTTTTTTTTCACGAGAAGAAAGATTACATTAGAAAAATATGAGAGCAAATTACAAAAGTTAAGGAAAGGCTAAAGAATAATAAAAGTTAATGAAATAAAAGAGCTAATGAAAAACTTCTTCCTCCAGCAAACCCATCAAAGCCTCAAATGCCCAAAAGGAACAATTAAATGTGAAGATCTCAACGCAATCAAAATCTTATCCAGAGTGACCATCAACCCTAACGCACCATGAGCGCCATAAAAAACCCGTCAAGCTTCTTTCCGGAGTCCCAAAACAAGATCTGACATCCCTCAAAATCAGCCATAATAAAATGGACCTAAAAAGTTGAACCAACTTTTTGTCTTAATTCAAGCACTCCTCCTAGGAAACAACCGAGAGCTGGTTGCACACCATTCAATATCAACTAAGAGGTCTAGTAATTCCTGATCAGAAAGTGATTTTTGAGCCGATGTTCCTATAAATTCTAAAATCACCCGCCAATTCTAAGCCTGAAGATCCAGAGGACAACCAAATCCACCCTATATAAGTGATGCACTATGCTGAGATGGAAAAGAAATCCGAAGAGGAGATATCTCCATATGCTCTCTTCTTGACCAACAATCACCTTGGTGGCAGTAGTGATCCCTTGTGCATTTTCTTGCGGCAAGACCATATCCTTATGATAGAGTATATCTAGAGAGAAGTGAGAGCTAGAGAGAGAAGTGCGGTAATATGCTTCAATAGAATGATTTTGTAACCCCTATAACTACTCCCAAAGGGAGTATTTATAGAGAAGATTAGGGTTGGGCTCCCAAGCCTTGGGCTTGGGAGGCCCATTTACAACTGGACCGCTACTGGGCCGAATACAAAGCCACTAATGGGCTGTACAAATGAGTAAGTGTAAAATCCGATTCTGTGAGGTCTTCGTGGCCGACGAGGGCGTGGCCGACGAGGGCACGGCCGACGAGGGCACGGCCGACGAGGGCACCCGGGTTCCTTGGACTCAGGACCATAATCCGAGTTGGCCCCTTTTCGGCCGACGGGGGCGTCTTGGCCGACGAGGGCGCCACTCTGTTGTCTTGTGCTTTCTGTTCTTCCGAGTATGTGGATCCTGGGGCCCAGACCCATATACTCCAATAGGAGTCCCCCACTCTCTAAGCTGGGACGTAGACGAAGCGAAGGAGAGTAGATTCCTGTGCTTTGAGCCCCCCATCCCCGGGCCGTTAGCCGTTGCGGCGTTTGGCGTTGTTTCCTCTTTGGTGATCCTGTTCTGTGCTTTGGCCGTTACCTGTTCCTCGCTGTGGGCGGGGAGGCCGTTGTTTCCTTAATGTGTTTGTTTTGGGACGATGAGTGTCCTTCTTTCAATGGTGGCCGTTGAGGGCACGTTTTGCTTGGGCGCTAATGTTTGAAGTTTGTGTTTGGGCCGACGAGGCCACTGAAGTTATTCCTTGCTTTGAGGACGATGGCGTCCTTTCCTTTGGGTGGCCGATGAGGGTGTTTGCGCACTCCTTTTGGCCATTGCTGGTTGGCCTTCGTGTTCTTGGCCGAAGGGCCCGTCAAGACTAATTGTTGGTGGAGGACGATGAGTGTCCTTGCCTCTAGTGGCTTGTTGGCCGATGAAGTTCCGTTGTGCTGTATGGATGATGTGGCCATGCTTTGTGGTCACATTCATGTTCTTTGATGATGTGGCCCTACTTTGTTTTGCTGAGGCCGGTGTAGTCCCCCAGTCCCCCACTGCTTCAGGCCGAGGAGTGTGAGGGGTGAAGGAGTTGCTTGAGTCACTGGCCGAAGCGGCCTCTCCGTAGTCCCCCTGAATCCAACTCTCATGGCAATTTTCTGGCCAAGGTAACCCTGTGGGAGAACCCTTGTGCGCAGATCGCTTGTAGAGAGTTATCATCAAGGGTCATGACGAGGAGCCGATGGCTTGTGGGCTCTTGGGTTCTTTGATCTTGTGGCCGTTACGTTCCCGGCCGTTGCCGTCTCCTTATTGTTTGGCAGTTGTGATCTTGGCGGGCAAGTGGGACGTTGTGGGCGCTTGCTGGTACTTGTAAAGCCGGCAAGTGTGTGGGCCGTTGGAGTCTGGTTTGCCAGTGGGCTGTTGATGTGGGTTAGGCCTGGCCCGTTGGTGACGTGGTGGCCTCCCGTTGGTGGCCGTTGATGTGGCCACTGAGAGAGTGCCACGTGTAGTGACCGTTGGGTGGAGGGGTCTATAAATACCCCTTCCCCTCCGACGAGGAATCACATTTGTATTCTGAATTGTCGAAGTGCTGCCCATTTTTCTAGAGAGATAAACTCCCAAGCTTGTTCTTCGTGTTCGTCGTTGTTCAAGGTTAGTGTTCATCACGATCTTCCTCACTTTTCATATTTTGCTTCCTAGATTAGTGATCTAGTGTTAGGTGTTTGAACACCCTTAGATCTTAAGTTAAATCTCCTTAGGCCCGTAGTAGTAGTTATGAAGAGCTTGAACGACGACTACTACCCCTACGACGACCAGCCCTCCACGAGGTCGCTTGACTACGAGGTGCTCGAGGAGTTTGAGGAGGAGATAGAGCGTTTAAGTCCATACAAATCCGGAGAGCCAGTGGACGAGGAAGGCGAGGACGAGGAGTCCGCCTCCTCTTCAAAGGGTGAGGACGTAGGTGCGTCCCGAGTGGTGGACGGGGCGTCCACTTCTGCTGTCATTCCGTGCCCGAGGCCGGTGTCTGCTGTGAAGGGAGCAGCTAAGCCGAAGAGAGTGAGGAGGCCGAAGAGTGGGCCGGGCACTTCCTAGTTGGATCTCACCAACATCTTCCTGATCAAGCCGGAAAGCAGTGCGGCCGACTATCTCGTTGCCCAGATGTATGTGGGGCCGTTCGGGCGGGTTAGGGCACCCAGGCCGACGGACCATGTTCTTCTTCCGCCACCGGGATACTTTGGAGTATACCCGATGAGTTTTGCTAAGGGGTTGAGGTTCCCCCTTCACCCTTTCATTACCGAGTACCTGGACATGGTAGGGCTTCCTCCGGCCCTGCTGACGCCGAACAGCTACTCCCTGATGGTGGGGTTTTTGCTCCGGTGTGAGGAGTTGGGCTACAGGCCGACAACGGCCTTATTCATGAATTTGTACCAGATCGGCCGAGGAAGCCACAAGAACTGCGCGGCCTATGCTACTCTTCAACAGCTGCCGAAGAAGAGGAGTTTCACGGATTTGCCTACGTCCATTCATGAGTGGAAGAGCAAGTTCGTGTTTGTGTCCATTGGTGAGAGTGGCACTGAGTTTCCCTCCCTCGGCCACACCGGGAGGTTTAACCTGCATGACCCGCCGAAGAGCTCTATTTTGGACGCTCAGGTGGAGGCTTTCTTGGAAGGGGGGCTGAGGAGCGTGAAGGATTACATTACTGAATACAAGATGGCCGCCCTCGGCTTTGTGAGGTACTATGTCTATGGTGACAAGGAGGATGACCTCCAACTCTGGCCGAGGATGACCACCACCTTTGAGGAGGCCGACGGCCCGGACTTGGGCATTCCTGCTGAGGCCGATGGTAATTCTTTCTTCGGCTTTCTGTCTTTATGTTTTGTCCTTTGCCTTACTAATCTGTTTGTGTTTTTCCTTTGTAGATTTTGTCATGGACCGTCGTTCCATGATGGCTATTGCCAAGGCCAAAGCGGCCGAGGAGATTGCTGCTAAGGCGGCCGAGGCGGCCAGACGTGCCGCGGCCGGTGGGAGCGGGGCTACTGCTGATGCGGCCCCAAAGCCTGCTCCATCGAAGAAGAAAAGGCCGGCCACTGACGGCCAAAAAAAGTTAACTGAGGCCGGCGTGAGCGTCTCGAAGAAGACGAAGAGGGCTCCTTCCCCTTCTCCGGCTACTGAGGCCGGTACTCTGGCTGTCCCCATCGTGGACGATGGTGGTCCCGTCGTGGACCTTACTGTTGCTGACGATGCTGCCCCAGCGCTTCCTCTCGTCCAGGAACCACGGACGAAGAGGGCCGGCAAGGAGATTGCCGGTGCCACGTACCAGAAGGTGGTAGAATACCCCGTCGGCGGGGGCGTGTTTAATGATCTCGTCCCTGGCCACGTCGTCCTGGCCCAGGCCATGCCGGCCAAAGATCGGGCTTACTTGAAGAAGCTCGGGGAAGAGAAGATTTACGAGGGCGGCATGGACCTCTTCGTCCAAGTGAGTTACTGTCCCTATGTTTTTGTCTTTCTCTTCGTCTGTGTAGAGTCTTTTGCCTGACCTCTGTTTTCCTTCTGCAGAGTGCCTTTATGCTTATGGAAAGCCATAAGAGGCAGTATTGGGAGATAGCTCGCTTGAAAGGGCTGGAGCAGAAGGCTGCCTCGGCCGACGAGGCGGTAGCTTGCCTTGATCGGCTCCGGGAGGATGCCAAGGCGTTGTAGGCAAAGGCTGATGAAGCCGCCGCGGCCAGGGACGATGCCCTGGCCAAGCTCGAGGAGAGCAAAAGGGAGCTTGAGGAGTCCCAAAGGGCGCTGGAGGCCGAGAGGCGCAAGAGCGAGGAGGCCGTCAAGGCGAAAGCTGAGGCCGAGGCCGCCGTCGTGAGGGCTGCTGATGAGGCCGTTGAGAAGTTCCTGGCCGAGGGGTGGAAGGCCGATGAGAGGCTTCCCTGGTGCTACGAAGTGGTGGCCGCCAGGCTTGAGAGTTGGGGGATGAGCTCCCCCGCCGGCCGGGAGTATTTCAGCCGGGAGATGTCCGTTTATTACAACCTGGGCCAGGAGCGGATGCAAAGGCTCCTGTGTCGGCGGCTATCCCGGGCGTTGAAGGCCATGAATTACACGTCTGGGTGGGCTAGACGGAACCTGAAGCTGCCAAAGCTGATGAAGGATCCAGAAGAGCAGGCCAAGCTTCCGCTGTCGGAGCGAGAGTCCCCCATAGAAAGCTCCGGCCTCGGCGAGCCGGACTACACTGAATTCGACTTCCTGGACGATGCCACTAGCTCTGCGGCCGCCGCCGAGGAGGGAATTGACGAGGCCGAAGAGGCCGCCGAGGAGGGAGCCGACGAGGTTGAAGAGCCAGCCGCGGATGAAGGTGCCCCGGAGGCTTGATCGGCTATTCCCTGTTGTAATTAGCTTTTCATTTTTAGCCAAATGATGTAACGGCCGAAGTGCCCCCAATTGTAATGAACTCACTATCAATTGAAGAAATTTTTGCTGTCCTTTTCGGCTTTGAATCCCTTGTATGCTTGTTTGCCATTTGACATTTCAATTCTAAAATTTGTCTAAGTGTCAAGGTCACAACTTGGGTCACCCGCGAGTGTCCGCTACATCCGTGAGGTCGGCCTTCCTGTCCAGTAGTCTGGTCGGCCTATTCATCTTTGCTTTACTATCATAACACTTAGGATTTTTTTTTAAAAATTCCCCAAGTGTTTTTGGGTCCATGTAGCTGTTGTCTTTACGGCCTAGTGACTTGATCGGCCTGGACGTAGTTTCATAACACTTAGGAATTTTTTCAAAAATTTTCTAAGTGTTTTGGGATCCACTTAGGTGCTTTCCTTTCGGCTTGGTGGCCTTGTCGGCTTGACCGGTGGTCCTTGGCTACGTCCTTTTGCCCTTGATCGTGGTGTCCGCTACGTCCATGGGGTTTAGTCTCTCCCCATTATTGGCAAATGGTTTGGGTGATTTGCCAAGTGTTGAACCAGTGTCGTTGTCGGCCTGCATTCCTGTGTTGTGGCCGATAAGGGCACCTTCACCTTAGTCTTTTGGACTTTGAATTTTTTCCAAGTACATATGCAAGGCGTAGGTAGCTAACGGCCTTGGAATATATATGTACCCGCTTCATCCAGAGTTCTTCCACTTGAGTACTTAGAGAATTTTCCAAGTGTAAATGCTGGGCATTTACTTCTTTGCGGTACCGCTGTCGGCCGAGGAGGTGGTCCTACCTTCGCCGGCCAGCCATGTAAACACTTGGACCAATTCCCAGAGAACTTTCGCTTGACCAACGGCCTTGGTTCCAGTGCCTGCGTCGGCCATCCGAGATGCTGTGGCGAGTAGAGGTTGTTTCTTGATTGCTTGATCCTTTCGCGGGTGTGATGAGTGCCCGCTTCGTCCTGGTCATCCTCAGGATTGCGATGCTTTGTTTCATACCAAGCGTTGGTGCCTCAAAGGACTATGGCCGATGAAGGTCACCTCTCGTGTGTCACCCAACCGATGTGGTTAGGGTTTTATAGGCGTGTGTATCGGCCTTGATTATTCCCTTGCAGTGTGTGGACGTGTCGTCCATGTTGCCTGTCAGTGGTACTACACTTGTGTTCAACTGATATGTACTTGGCCTAGTTGGGCCTGAGTTGTGGGGATTTTATTTTTTCATTGCTCGAGGCCGGCAAGTGTGCGCGGCCGTCGGCTTCCCTCTTTTCCCCTTGTATTTTTTTTTTCGTTTCGGGGGATATCCTTCTTTCAGGCTTCGGCCGAAGGGTGTGCTCGTCCTTCGGCCGGTTCGGACTTCGTTTATAACGTCCGTGGTCTCAGGGCGGGTCCCGTCGCCTATTTATGACGCGGGCTAGACTTTTGGTCGGTTTCCAACGGCTGTCGTTGCCCATCCCTAAGTTTTGGGATTTTGTCACCTCGGCCATGATTTCAGGCCTGTCGTCCTGCGTTCTGGCGCGTGGACGACGCGGTGAGCTTCCCGTTTCAAGACGTGGGCCGTTTGCGGGCCCCTCGTCCTGGGGACATCGTCGGCCATACCCGAGCGTTTCACTTCTAGGCTTACAGGGCCAGGACGATGTGCTCTCTCAGCTAGGCCTGAGCCCTTCGCTGATACAAAATACAATGGAGCGCCTGAGCTTGCCGCTCGTAGGCTGCAAATGCAAGGGGGCCTCGTCGGCCATGCCTGAGCCTTACGCTCTAAGGTGGCCGACGGGGGCACCTGCTAATGTTTTACTTTGAATTTCCAGAGAAAAAATCAGAACATGATTTTATTCATAAGTGGCTCGAGGCCGAGGGTGGCGTTCAATCAGTAACCCGTTAAGGGGTGAGGGCTTCGCCGTCTACACCTCCTTCGGATTACTGATAAAACTTCACCAGATGGTGTACATTCCATGTTCGTGGTATGTTGGACCCATTCGGGCGTTTAAGCATGTAGGTGCTGGGTTTGACCACGGCACTGACGATGTAGGGCCCTTCGTACTTCAATGCTAGCTTGCCACCCTCTGTCGGCTGGCTTGCTTCCCTCCGGCGGAGGACGTAGTCCCCCACCTGAAATTCTCGGGAACGTACCTTGGCGTCATAGTATGATTTTACTTGACGCCGGTAGTTCTCTGCTCGGACGTAAGCTTGTTCACGCCTCTCATCAACCAGGTGTAGGTCAATCTTCATGTTCTCTTCGTTGGTGTCAGGCTCATATTGTTCCACCCGTCGGCTGGGGATGGCAATTTCCGTAGGCGCCTTTGCTTCAAAGCCGTAGCACAGGGCGAAAGGCGTTTCACCTGTCGCCCTCCTCGGCGTGGTTCTGTAGCACCACAGGATGTTGGGGAGCTCATCGACCCAACTACCTCCTGCGGCCTGGAGTTTCTTCTTCAGCCCCTTCATGATTGTTCTGTTGGCGTTCTCGACCTGCCCATTGCCCTGAGGGTAGGCAACGGAGGAGAAACGATGCTTTACCCCAAACTCCCGGAGGAGTTCTTGAAAAGGGGCTGCCTCGAATTGGGTGTCGTTGTCTGATATAATCTCCTGGGGGACGCCGAAGCATGTGATGATGTTCTTGTAAACGAATTTTTGGCATCTGGCTCCCGTGATGCTGGCCAAGGGTTCCGCCTCGACCCACTTGGTGAAGTAGTCGACGGCGACGATGATGTAGCGGTTATTCCCGGCGGCTCTGGGCAGGGGGCCGACCAGGTCAATTCCCCACCTGGAGAATGGAATTGCGGTGCTGACAGGGGCATAGTTGACAGCTGGCCGACCAGGGGCCTTCTGGAGTACCTGGCATGTGGTGCATTTCCTGGCCAGGTCAGCGCAGTCGCGTGCCATCGTCGGCCAGAAGAAGCCCTGGACGACGAGACGCCGGGACATGCTGAAAGGGCCCTGGTGTGAGGAACAGACGCCACAATGAACTTCTTCCATGGTTGTGTCGGCCTCGTCCTGGTGCAGGCACCGGAGGAGAGTGCCATTATAGGACCGTTTGTAGAGTTTGCCATCTTCGATGGTGTAGCTTGGGGCCCTGAGTTTGGCAAGTTTGGCCCTCTCCTCGTCCGGGGGCAGCTCCCCCGTAGTGATGAAGGTGGCGATGTCGGAGATCCAGTCCTCTGGTCGCTGTTGGACGCACAAGACGGGGCTGGCATGGATGCTGGACATGCTCAACTCCTCGATCTTGGCCAACTGGGAGATGTGCTCCGGGGTGTCCGAGCTGAGCTTGGAGAGGATGTCGGCTTCGGCGTTCTCGGCCCTTGGGATCTGAGTGATCTCGTGGGTGTCAAACGCTTTCAGCAATTCCTCCGCCGCTTGCTTGTACTGCTTCATCCGGCCTTCCTTTGCTTCGTACGATCCCTCCACCTGGCCCACTACCAGTTTGGAGTCGCACCTGATTCTGAGGTGCTTGGCCTTGAGGCCGGCGGCGAGTCTGAGACCGCTGAGGAGGGCCTCATACTCGGCTTCGTTGTTGGACACCCTGAAGTTGAAGCGGATGGCATAGTAAGCTCCGAATCCTTCAGGGGATATGAGGACGACGACGCCGCCGCATGATTTCGCGGCCGACGAGCCGTCAGTGAACAGGGTCCACGTATCGTCCGGCTCCGGCCCGGAGTTGGCGACAGCCGTCTCCCTCGCTGTGCATTCAATGATGAAGTCGGCCAAGGCTTGCCCTTTGATAGATGGCATTGGCTTGATCTCAATCTGAAACTGGCTGAGGAAGATCGCCCATTTCACCATCCTCGAGGAGCTAGTGGGGCTCCTCATGAGCGCGCCAAGAGGCTGTTGGGTCAACACATGGACGGTGTGGGCTTGGAAATAGTGCCCCAGCTTCTTCACTGTGTGGACGATGGCCAGCACCGTCTTCTCAATGGGGGAGTACCTGAGCTCGGCCTCCCTGAGCGTCTTGCTGATGTAGAAAATGGCCTTCTGCACCCCTTCGTCCTCACGGATGAGCACGGAGCTGATGGCCGACGTGCTCACCCCTAAGTACAAGAAGAGGGTTTCGCCGGCTCTGGGCTTGGAGAGCACGGGTGGGGACGACAAGTACCTTTTCAATTCGTCGAATGCTTCCTGGCACTCCGTCGTCCACTTGAAGCTGTTGGCTTTCCTCATGATCTGAAAGAGGGGGAGTGCCCTCTCGGCGGACCTGGAGAGGAACCGGTTTAAGGCCGCCAGGCGCCCCGTCAGTCGCTGTAACTCCTTGATGTTGCGGGGCGGCTCCATGTTGATGATGGCCTGCGTCTTCTGTGGGTTTATCTAGATGCCTCTCCAGCTGACCATGTAGCCGAGGAACTTGCCGCCCTGAACGCCGAAGGCGCACTTCTTGGGGTTAAGGCGGAGCCTGAACTCCTTCATTATTTCAAAGATTTCCCGGAGGTCGTCGGCGTGGGAGGTGGCCTGCTTGCTCTTGACGATCATGTCGTCGACGTACGCCTCCATCGTCCGGCCAAGGACCGCTCTGAAGATCTTGGCCACCATCCTAGTATAGGTGGCGCCGGAGTTTTTGAGCCCGAAGGCCATGACGAGGTAGCAAAAGATTCCCTCTGGGGTCATGAATGCCGTCTTCTCAGCGTCATCTTCATGCATGGAGATTTGGTGGTACCCTCTGAAAGCGTCGAGGAACGACATCAACTCGCACCCCGCCGTCTCGTCCACCAGCTGATCAATGTTGGGGAGAGGGAACGAGTCCATGGGGCACGCCTTGTTCAGGTCAGTGTAGTCAACACACATTCTGAACGTCGGCGGTTTTTGTGCGAGGACGACGTTGGCCAACCATGTCGGGTACTTCACCTCTTTGATGTGTCTGATTGAGAGGAGCATGGTGACCTCCCCTTTGACGAAGTCCCGCCTGTCGGCGGACAAGTAGCGCCGCTTCTGTTTGACAGGCGCGGAGGCCGGATCGACGGTCAGCCGGTGAGTGATCACCTGGCGGCTGATGCCTGGCATATCGTCCGGGCCCCACGCGAAGACAACGGCGTATGACCGTAG